GTTTGGTAACTGCATTCAACGATTGTTTAATTGGCTTTTACGAAATGTGAGAACTAACAGAAACCACATTTTAAGTTATAGTGGTACCGCGCTATAGCGCGGATGATTGAAACTTTTTATCCTTGTGTGTGGGGGCCTTCTAAATAAGGGTGCATCTTATATGCCATCAAATACGGTAATTAATGAAACCATTTTCACTTATGAGTTCTTTCTTATTTGTATTTATTACACATTTAACCAGTGTTTCAGTGGCACTATCTAAGAAATAAATAACTAATACTGTAGACTCATTGAGTTATTTTGAAGCAAGGGACATGAAAAATGAGCAATGCCCTTGTTGAGACTCAAACCTGGACTTCTTGAATACGTGCCGAGTGTTCTAACCGTTACACCATGAAGGCATGCTGGATGGAGAGAGAAAAAACCTCATATACTCCCCCTTTTCAAAGGCAACTAGGGATTAGAGGACCCAATTGCCAAATCCTGGTGGTGAAGAATCATCATCTACCACCTTTTAGTTCGGGCGCCACTGTAGAGAACTTTAGAAATTTTTTGACATCAGGAAACTGAAGAAATGGGCAATGTCCTCGTTTGGACTCAAACCTGGATCTTACGAATATGTGCCATGTGTGCTAACAATTACACCACAAAGGCATGCTGAATGGAGAGAGAAAATGCCTGTTATGACCGTAAGACCCAACTTGTTCGGTTAGGTGGATCGGGCTGCGCCCACTTCTGGTACCTTATACTATCACTATATAAGAAAGAAATACTAACTAAGCACTATCTAAGAAATTATTAATTACCAAAACAACATTAGATAGCTAAAGAACTAATTTTAGAATGCAGAAAGGAAGAATTAATTAAAAAAAGTTTAAAAAGCAGTAACAGGAGCAATCAATCTATTAATTTATATTTGTCTAAAAATTATTTAATAAAAAAGTTTTAAAAAGTAACAGAATAATAATTATTACTTATGCTATCTGTATTATTTCTTATTAACATATTTTATAAAGTAGCTTACAATAATTTTTTTTTTTTTTTCCCATTTTACATATACTAAGTATGGGATATGTATCAGGCAATCCTTCAAAATACCTCATTTATGGATACTTTTTCTTTCCTGTACCTAACCGTCTCAGAAGAAAAACTAATAACTATCAAAGATGACAATCACTGTATGAACTGAAACTCATAGATCTATGGACACATCTCGCTCATCATCTGAATAAAAAAGCATCTGTTATTTAATTAATTTTTAATAATTATAAAAAGATTTTTGTGAAAACTATAAGAAATATTTATTACTGAGTACTTCAATGCAAAAACCAGATTGGTTTTTCATCAAAATAGGGATTATTAAACAGTTTATATTCAATAACTTCAAATCAAAAGCTTTAAAATTTCAAGAATTTTGGTTTTATCAGGCCTTTGTCAAGCCATATTTTACACAGTTTTAACATAATACTACTGCTTTCCTAATAATAATATTCCGTTTACATTTACATAATTTCATTTTTTAACCTCAGTTTTTTCCTTTATTTTCTTATAACTTTACAATTAAATTACCTCTATTTAGAAAATTGGGATTCCTCTCCATGAATTTCTTGCTAAAAGTTTCACACTTTTCAGACAGGCCTAAAGAAATAATTACAATGTCAATGTGGTAGGAATGCAATGAATAAATAATGTATAATTAAAATAAAAGTAAAGTGAAATGTTTTAATAATTTGGTTTTAGTTTGAACTACATGTTAAAAAACAGAGGTAGTCACCCAAATTTCACAGCATATATATATATAGATAAATAGATAATAAATAAACTAGAGAGATTATCCCTTCGAAAAAAGCAGTGTAAAATTTTAGTAATAGAAATTCTGTAACATAGAAATTACTGCGAATTAAAGATTCATATTAGAAAAAATTAATAATAATTATTGTTGTTTCCATGGAAAAAGGCTGACTTTTCAACAGGAATTAGCTTTTTCTCCTTTTAATCACCAACAATTTAGGATATTTGAATCATGTTTCGTCCCTGGCTACTTGAGAGAAAATCCGATTTAATATAATCTAAATTAATATTTTAACTCAACTAAGTTAATTCAAGTCACCTGATTATATGTAACATATTTACAAAATAATTTTACAATATAAGAAAATTATTGAAAATTGTATTAAATTAAAATTTTATCCTATGAAAAACAAAATTAAAAAAATTAGGACCAAAATTCAAATAATATTACATATATTTAGCTAACTTCTAAAAAAATGCTGTCTGCTCGTTTAGTTATTTTGTTGAAAATCTTTTGTTGCATTTATATATATGTATTATTTTAATAATTAAATTAAAATTTGATTATCTCCAGAATAAAAAATATCAATTTTTAATGAAAAACTATGAGATGGGAGTTTTGAAAAGTGCAAAATTCATTAAAGATCAAGCAAAAGTGCCATATGTTTAAACTCATAAAGTAACAAAAATTTTAAATAAAAATGTTAAAAATTTTACAAGAAAAAGTATTGCTGATTACATAAAAAGATCCTGACTTTTCATGGGAAATCAGTTTTTTCCCAAAATACAAACATTTAATCTGACATGTTCCTCTCCTCTTTTTGAATTCAAACTCTTGATTTTCAATAAATGTAAAAAAAAAAAAAAAAAAAAAAAAAAAAAAAAAAAAAATCGCCGATGTGATATAAAGCAACATACGTAAAGACATTAAATGTAGTAAACTATGGAACAATATGTAAAACTTGAAATGAGAACAAATACTGACAAAGTTACTTAACAGATTAGACAAAATTTGTTGGTTACATATATATTAAACAACACACACATGTACTGTTTTTTTATTCATTATACCTCTTAAATTTTAAAATAAATTTTATCTTCCAATTATAATACATTCAACTGAAAAGTTCTAAACAGAAAAATAATTATTATCATACATCTTCAGAGGCAAGTCATATGTGTAATTTCATTTTCAGTTAAGAACACAGAACACATAGAAAACCATTAAACATAATGTAACAGCATGCGTTGCTTAAAATAACTGTTCTTTTGCAGCGATTCTTTTGTTACCCGTACAAGACCTTTATTGTGATGATAATGCATAATCTGTTCAAAAGTTTATGAGTAGATGTATCTCTCTTCCTGATAATACTGGCAAGATATCAAAAGGCAAGATTTATAACTACGACAAGATTTGTCTTCAGTAAAAATATTTTCATGATATGCCATAGCTGCCAACTTGGAAATCTTAAAAACTGAGAGATTTTTGTGAGAAAACTGGGAGGTTTTTCACACAGTTTGGCAACACCATTTCAAAGGAATTCCAAATTGACTTTCATTCATATTATAATGCATAATTCAGGTTATTCAACAATTTTAAAGACAATTATGATATATAATATACAGATATTCGATAGTTTATGTTCCTTGGCTATTTTTTTTAAATTTGTACAAATTTGTACAACAAATTAAGGCAATTCAGATCAAATAAAATTTGATAAGGTCAATAAAATGTAATAAAAAACACAATTCAGATGAAAAAAAGTTTCATGAAAAAAATTATTCTGAAAACTATTAGGGGCGGAAAAATGGAATTTCCCTAATTTAGTTTCATTAATTCAATAAATTTCATTTATTTCTGGAAAACATTTTCATCAGTTAATAAGGCTAAATATTAAAAACCAGGAGATTAGGTAACCTACCAGCAGACCAGTAGATGTGATAAAAAACTCGGAATCTCTGACAATACCCAAAATAGATAACAATGTGTTAATAAGGCATTTAACTTTTTTTTTCAATCAAAATTTGGTAAAATGGGACCAGATATCAGGATTATATGTAGAGAAGTCTAATACACAGCAATTAATACCATGTTAATTGTTTTTAAAAGGAGGAAGAGGACATGACTGATGATGTGAAAGTAAGCCTTCAGCCACATGGCATCAACAAAAATATCATTCATATGCCCTTTTGGTTGCAGAATATTAACAAACAGCTAAAATATTTCCCAAAGAATTAAATTTATGAAAAATAACTCTTTATATGATTTTACACAAGAAACTGGGAATATTACATACAAAGATCATCCTAAATATTTGACAGCTGAACAAAAACTGAAAAGGAAAAAGTGCTCTGCTTGATTAGTCAAACGATGATTATTTTGACAGGGTGATTATCAATAATTACTTATGGATTTATGAATTGGAATGGACACAATGCAGAGCAACTAGTGGAAAATGAAGAACAAAATCTTGAAAAACCATATCCAAAATTAAAATTATGGATAACATTTCATCAAAATCTGTGAAATTATGTAGCATCAATTTGTCCCAAAAAGACAATCTATAATGCAAGTTACTACATGAAAAATCCAAGATGCCTGAAACATCAGACAATTGCAGTAACACATAACTTAGCACTGAGCACACTGTCATTCTCCAGATGTATAATGCAACTTGCTTTTAAAAAATCAGACAGCTGCAAAAAACTGGCATTGAACACATTGCTGTTTCCATGTATACAGTAATCTGTTTTTCACTTTAAAAACAAATCATAGAATTGCCCAGATTTGACCATCAGTGCCTAAATTTTCATTTATAAAATTCAATCACTTATGAAGTAAAACTTCATGGAATGCAAATTTTTACATTTTCTGAAGTTCAATATTTTCTGTTAGGGAAAATACCATATTCTAAAGAAATGCAATGTCTTCTTCTTTATCAGCTGGCAAACTCCACAGCTCCATTATGATTAATCCCTTACACAGGAGGGGAAAAAAACTCAATGATACAAAAACAAACATTGATGACTGCCGATTTTGCAGGTTAAATTGGCACTCATCTGCTGTGCATGCACACATAGCTGAGTTGCCCCAGGAATACATTTTGGCAATATAGTGTGTAGATAATAAGAAAGGATCCAATTTTCTTATCAACACAAGTAGCTACTAGCATTAAAAAGACCTTTTTCTAAATGCAGAAAATAAACCAATCTGTTGTCAAAGCACTAAAATTTAATTGCTAAATAAAGTAACTGCAGTTATTTTACCATATCCTGCAACTACACTTTGAACCTGCAAAATCGGTGTTTGAAGAAATATGCATGTAGAAATTTGATAAGTTTGGTTTTTAAGAATTGGCTAATAATTTTGAAGCAATAATTTTTACATGCATCTTTCAAATGGATCAAAAATATAGAAAAACAGCCTAGAAAATTTAAAAGGGGGCAACAGGTTTTTATGATTGGTGTTAATAGAATGATAGTCATGAAAGCTTTAAGTTAGAATTTTAATAAAAGTATAATAGAAATTTATTTTACTTTGTTTTATTTTTTGTCTACTTATTTGTTCATTTTGTTTTATTTATTGATAAGTCTACCAAATAAAGAATTTAAATGCTAGAATGTTCTAAAACATATGTCTCACCTTGCTTTATTATTATTATTTTAAATAATGAGGGGAAAAAATTGTGCTTTTTCCTATAAGGATGGGTTAAAAGGTGAACTTAGCAGCATGAAAAGCATATAAATACTAACATTCTTATATTCTATGGTTCAATGAAACCAGTTACATTTATTAAATACAATACTACTTTTTTACTACACATTGTATTTTGCCGGCTATTTATATCTTGTATGTTGTTACTAAAAACAAGAAGATTTTGATATATATGTTGAAAAATACATGAGGAGGAAAAATATGAGAGTAAATACAGTAATTATATCATAACAATAAAAACACAATAAAAAAAGAGAATCTCAAACATACCACATACCAGTACTCTTATGTTTAGCACTACTTTTGAGAGATGATTTTCTTTTACGATTTTTAGAAATTACATTTCCGTTAGTCCTGGAATTGGATTTAGATGTATTTGCTGTTGTATCAATATTCTTACAGTTCTCACTAGTCTTAAGATTTGATTCTATGCTCCTGTTCTCAGGAATTCCCCTGGAGTTGTATTCAGATGTATCTGCAGTTAAATCAGCATCCTTTAAATCCTTAATTATGTCCAATATTATATCTTTTGAAAAATTTTTCAGCTTCTTAGATGTTAGCTCAGAAAGTGAAGAATCGATAGTTAATGTTAATATTCCAATCCTGTTAAAGGGGAGGAAAAAAAATCAGTGGATCTCAATAACTCAAAATTTAGTACTTTTAACCCTCTAAGCGGCAAGGCCGTATATATACGGCCTAGAATATTTATTGTGATATCTGTAAGAAGGTATATATATGTGCATATTAAAATATGTCAACAAAATTAAGGCAATATACCAAAAGAAAACAAATCCAGGTATGAAATACCAGTAGAGTTTCTACATTAAAATCATAAAAATAATTTAATTCTCATAGTAGTTTTGGTCAATTTGTGCTTTCTTAGCGAAAACCCTGGCCGCCCAGAGGGTTAAATAAACAGATAGAGAACAAATTATACATAATGCTTCATATAAAGAACTGTTTTTAAAAAGAAAATGGGCTTTTTCTGCAGCAACATTATTTTGGCTTAAATGGCATTTATTATGGATATAATTACAGAAAGTAGTTTTTTTTTAGTCCAAAGGGATTTGAATCCCGAAGGACTATTAGTTTCGTTTTGGCATTTTGCGTCGGACTCATAAATGTCGGTTCACTTTTCCAAACTGTTGCCACAAAATGTTAGAGTCCCTGCATTATATTTGAAGAAATTAAATAATGAAAAATCTGCATAAATGTATGTATATTTCTCGTATGTGATAAAACAACGGTACCTAGAGTCCATCCAGTTTTGAATAGCGTACGTCCTCCACCCGAATATGCGCATCTGAAGATCTCAAATTTGGAATTTGAGAATTTGTTTTATTATCTATTTCCTATATTTTGTAAAAGTGTAACGAATTTTTGATTAACAAACTCATGGACTTCAAAGCGAGCAATGGCAACACTGTACAGGAAAGAGAATATTTTTATCTCCAGCGTGCGAGACTGTGTATCTGGAAATTCTAAAGATGTGCTCATTTGAGTATTATTTTGCGATATTGCTGTTGCACTGGATTCTTATGGTTTAAGTGCGAGGAACATGATATTTAATAAAGAAAGGTAACACACAAATGTTAAAAAACGCCCCTTTGGACGTAATTTAAAATCTGAAACATTTCAGATTTTTTTTTTTTTTTTTTTTTTTTTGTATGTGTGTGTGTGTGTGTACAAGAAATACATTTTTTTTTTTTTTTGACAACACATACCTGTAAAACTGAACCAACTCCCAGTTATAGGAAATTTAGTAGTTTTATAATGCACAATAGTGCTGTCGGAATCACCTTCTTAGTGTGTCTTACTTACTGCCATATAAAATATTTGAATCTCTTAAAACCATCTGTCAAAAAATTCATTCGGTACTGTTCTGTTAACAGGGTCATATCCAAAAATTTATATATGTATCTATGTGTATACCCACATATATACACATACATACACTTTTGAATCCGGTCCTGATAACAGAAGAGTACCATTCATTCTTTTAGAATTCCTCAAGAGATAAGAATTTATCAACTTTAAATTAGAAGCTATTATGTAAGCAATGAAATTTCCACTGGAATCTGCTGGAAGTCCAAAAAAACCTGGATGCAAAACAGTATTATTCTTGACTAAACAGAAAATTATGTAGTTACTTGTGATATTACCTGTATTCCATTAACTCAATTAGATCCCATGAGTTAGTTCTCAGAATATTACAAGAAAAATGAAGGATTTTTTTAGAACCAAAATCAGCTTGGATGTACATAATAGGGCATAATATCTGATTTGTGAGCAGGATTCTTGGATACCATTATATAGAAATCATTCTGGCAAATTGAGCTCATTCGTGCATGCGTATCCTGAGCAGCAGGCTAGGTTTCTTCATTACAAACATCAAAGTCAGTAACAGGTCAGTAAAACATCAAAGCCATCAAAAGATTAAAACAGTAAAAAATTCCATATACATTATTTCTCAGTAACATGTGAGAATGTATACAAACAAATGATCTTGGTAATACTCCTCTTCTCAAAACATTCACAATAGTATCACATGCTAAATTTACAATAACTGAATTGGCTGCTGGGGAAAATACAGTAGAACGATATAATATATATAGCAAATAGTGGAAAGATAGTCTCTTTAGAAGAAATGTACAAGTGACAGCACCAGTGACAGTGCATAAGTTCTGATCATTTCACATAATGTCATATTTTAAGAAAAGAAGGTAGGGTTTCTTTTACCAGAAACTAATTCCTGTGATACCCCAACTATAATATTTCGTTAAATTTTCCACCTTTCGATCTCCATATTACCTATCACAAGTTGGGTCTAATAGATCATCAGAAATTCATGCCAATTCAAAATGACGTGATGCCCAATCTATGAGAGACATCAAAAGTTGCTTTTCACAGCTTCAAATGTCAGGAGTACTAGAGCAAGTGCTCATTGATAAATTTTAAAATTTCAAATAGAACTGCCCTACAAACATTTTCAGTGAACTTTTTTAACAATAATATATATATATATATTATTATATATAGCCAAGATTGGAATATATATAATAATATAATATAGCCAAGATTGGATAAAAAAACTGAACGGTACAAACAACTAATAATGCACATCTTAGGAAAAAGAAATGGCTATAAGATACAGTTGTGGCTGGGTGTTGTGTCTTGTACACAGATAATGACTCCCTGACTAATCCTTTTTGCTTATTTACTACACACTAAGTAGGTTACATATATTTTATACAGACAGAAAAACTATATTAATTAGAGTAGGACTGCTGATTATACAAGCACTACACTGAACACTGGGCCTCTTCCGCCAAAAGCCAGTCTCCAATTCACCCTTGCTATAACTTTCAGCATACTAGTTCTTGTAAATATTTTCTACAGAGCATTACATGTAGCTTTTACCATTAAAGAACATAACAGAATGGCTTTTGCCAGATGTAAGTAATGATCCACTAGACAAAAAACATGTTCCTGTTTCCTAGTCGAGGGAGGTTCTATAGGATGTATAATATTGATAATTACAACTTTGAATCATAAAATCTTAGAAATGTGGTAACAGGAATTCTATCAGTTACTTTTTGGTACTTCTTAACTGACATAATTCACGTAATTGACAATATTCTGTAATATCTTTAGCCATATTCGGCCAGTAAAAATTATATCTGATTCTCTCTTTCATCTTCTTTATTCCCATGTGAGCCCAGAAAATAGATTCATGTGCTAATTTTAAAACATCTTTTCTTTGATTCTCTGGGAATCTCCCATTACTTATGAAAAAACAGATTATCAAGTTCCATAAAATTATCTTTTTTCTATTTTAAATTAATTCTTACTTCTTCTAAAGTAAGGCAAGACAACTTCTCCTCTTGGAATTTCAGTACATCAATATGATAATAATTTTCGAACATCCGCATTGGAGTTGTTACTGAAGGTGCGTTGACATATGTAACATCCCTATTTTGCATTCTGGTTTCTTCATATGAGAGGAATATTTATTTCAGGCATATTTGACTCCACATAATCTAAACATTTTTCGGTTTAACCATTCAACTTCGTTTCTTCCATCAAACCATATCTGTCATACAAGAGTTGAAAGGTCTGTTAGGTTAGGTTAAGTTATTTAATTAAGGCAAAACCTTGAGGGCTCTCTGCCTAAGGGGAGGGATGCCTTTGTGGAGGGCCTTCTAAGGGAAACTGGCTCGTATAGACGTTACACATGGGGAAAACCATGAAAACACCCATGCAACCAGCCCGTTCGCGGGATTCGAACCTCGGACCGAACTACCAGTGTTCAGCGACTTTACCGCTCGGCCGCTGGTAGGCCTTGAAAGGTCTGTTACTGATAATAAACAGTATACAGTCAAAAGTCGTTAATCCGGACTCGTCGGGACTTCGGCGATTCCGGATTACACATCATCAGTTTAAATCTCGTAAGATGGCATGCAGAAATTCTAAAATTAAAAATATGAAACTTTAATTTATGAAATAAAGAACAATTATAATCTAAAGGGTATCAAAATTTACAAAAAAAAAAGCTTAATATTTATTTGTTTACTTTATTAAACATTTCTTTCAATGTAAGTTGTTTAAGTTGCTTCGTTTTATGTGATAATACTTTCTCTTTAATTCTATAACAGACACAATTTCTTGTTCAGTTACAAAGTTCCGCTGTTCAAGTCCCGTTAATTGTTGCGCCGAGAATACCGACTAATTGTCAATCGAAATTTTTCGTTTTCACCACTAACCTCTCCGTCACATCTTCATGTCTTTACCCATTTTTTGCAGCAATTCCACTCTTTGTTTGAATGACATCGAAACATACTTTCGTTTTGTACGATCCTTTGGGAGCTCCAAAATCGGAAATTCTATTTGACATAATCGAAAGTTCAAGTTTACTTTTATAAAATTGCTCTTAAAGTCTGCAAGAAATAACAAACCTGATCCAATTCGAAGATTAAGGAGCAACACAATCATCAACATTAACTGAAATAGATAATTAGATAATTTTAGATTATACCGTTCGTTATACATAAAACGCGCACGCAAAAACGTATTCTGCGCTCACGCACACGCATATGCGCAGTGATAAAAGGTGTTACGCACACGCGTAAACGCCTATGCGCATGTGTCAATGATGCTAAAGCAAAGTTTAAAGTTTAAAGAAATTAAACATTTAGCAGTAGTAGCAATGAAAGCTCCCTGAGATATGTTGTGCAGACATGAAGACAATAAAGATTTTGAACTTACCAATTTATTAACAATATAATAAAGATAAAACAACAAAAATAAATGTCAACAATATTAGAGTATTAGGAAAAATATAATGTAATCATCATTCATCAAATACTTTTACCTGTACTCCAAAACACTGGCATTCTATACAAACAAAAAATGTCCTAAACAGTGACTATGCGGCCTAAAAATAAAGCTGGCTACCCATTCAATAAGCCCATAATCAATGGTCAAGAAAAACACCTGAAAATTTAAATGTGAAAACACTTAAAACCGGCCTAACTCCGTTTGCACAAGGAGTCGTCGTTCACGTATTTTTAATTCCGCCTTCATTGAAGACTGGATCCCCCCAC